AGGTGGTTTGACTGTGAAGTTCAGGCTGGCCTTGAGCTCACTTTGTAGCACGGGCTAGTCTCGAACTCGCAGCGATCCTCCCGCCTCAGCCTCCCACTACCTGCCCTTGGCTTTTCTACTCCTGACAGGCAGACTTCCATGAACATTTGTGTGCTGATCCTTCACAGAATTCTTATGGTTAAATATGACGACAAACAGCACACTCAGAGTGTTCTTGCCTCAGATAGTAAGAAAGGGTTATCCAGAAGAAGTTTTAGGGAAAGGCAGGATTTCTGGGGTGAGAGGTGACACGCAGCCAACATGTGGAGCGTGGCTCGACAGTCATGCCCAGGGAAGGTACCAGGTCCTCCAGAGTGCTTGCAGCTGTCCTCACGAACAGCAGGCTCTGCTCAGCTGGAGTGTGGGAGGGAGAGTTGGACCCCTCAGGTGGCACGCTGGAACTGGAGGCAAGGGCGAGAGGAGAAAGAGGATGGGGTGCTCAGCTGCTGGTAGGGGCAAGGAGGCCCCTAGACCTCTTGGTGCTAAAGTTAGAGGAAAGTGTATGTGCTGGAGTGGATTGAAGTGCGTGAGGCACAGTATGTCCCCAACTGAGAGTAAACATGAGAAGACAACCCTGGGAGCTGGCAAAAAAAAGTTTCTCCAGTTGTCTGGCTTATTTTCCTTCTTCTCTTTCCCTGTTTAATCTTTTTTCTTTTTTGGCAGTGCCCGGGATCCAACTTGGGACCTTGTGCTTGCCTGGGAGGTGCTTGTGCTGCTGAGCTGTCTCCCGGACCCTTAATCCCTTTCTTGATTCAGTCTGTTTTTTCTAAGATTCCCTCTAGCAAGCAATAGGAGAGTAACTAACAGAGACCTGCTTGGGTGGAAGTCCTTACCACTGCCAGGCTGTGAGGCCCCGGGAAGCATTTTGAGCCTTGCGTTTCTCTCTGTAGGTGAAGACAGTGGAAGTAATTTCCTTACTGGGCTAGGGAGATTGAAGAAAGCGCGTGTGTTAGTCGGCTTTTCGGCACAGTGACAGCATAAAGGAGGGGAAACCTAAGGAAGCAAGATCTATTTTGGCTTCCAGTCTGGGGGGGCGGGGGGGCACTGCATGTTTAAACCGTAATAATAGCTAAGGGCTCCTTGGCACCAAGTAAGTGGGGGAGGGGTTTGTGTGGCAGCTCCTGGCTTATCTTCGTTGTTCCTTTGTAGAAATGTTGGTTCTTCTTGTCTACTTTTCCTTCATTTCGGAGCAACTCAACTGGTTTCAGTGGTATTTTTAAAACAGGTCAATGTCTTCTCATTTTATTTATTTACTTTACTTTTTTGCAGTACTAGGGATCAAACTCGGGACCTTGCGCTTGCCAAGCGAGCACTTACTCCACTGAGCTATCTCCCCAGCCCAACCCCGTCTTCTCATTTTCACGTACGCAGGGGGTGAGTGGCCATTTCCCACTGCTGTCCGTGTGGAAGAAGGCTGCTAAAGTGACAGTGGGGAATGCTCAGCTCATCTTCCTTCTGAGTGACTGCAAGACCCTGGGCAGTTCATCAGTTCCTTTGGGCCTCTGCTTTCTGAGCTGAAAGTAGAAGGGTTTTGATTAAATGTACTGAGGCCTCAGTGTATCTCCTATGCAGGCAGTGACGAAAGGACCTCGTCTGTGTTACTCACCATTGCGAGCGCACCACCTTCAGATCACTTGGTCATAGCAGATGCTTGGGTGGCTGGGGATGTAGCTCAACAGGCAGACGGGAGAAAAGACAAAATACTCAAAGAAGGGGAAGGGGAAGGAAAAGAAATCTATGTGACAAAGGAGGTGACCTGTAATCATCAGTAACTATTCCCAGGGGCCCATCTTTGGTAGCTCTGAGCTTTAATGCAAAGGTTCTAGTTATGGACATTTCTCAGCCCAGTAGTCAACATTTTCAGCATTTCTTTTCGAACTTCTCAAGAGGCCTCTGTCCCCCTTCAATTCCAGTTCACTGCCATCTCTTACATTGCTAGGCCCCTGTCATCTTTCAGTAAGTTGGCTGTGCAGAGCTTCTCTGTTTTTGAAAGTGCAGCGTGTAATTATTCAACATCATAGCGCCACCTGCAAGGTGCTGTGCCATTTTCTTTATTTCTGAGGCGGCATCACGTACCCCATTTTATAAATGAAGCAACAGACTGAAAGCCAGGAGCACTCTGCGGGCTTCTGGGTTCCTGCCAGCACTGTCCCTCGCTGGCACGAGGCACGGTCTGGGTCCCTTCCATGCCCTCTAGCGCAGCAGAACTCGGGGCCCTCAGCCTCTTGCGTGGCCTTCCCAGCGGCCCTGTGGTGGCTCTTGGTGTGTGTCGGTGCAGTGTTTCCTTTCTTGTTCCTGCCTCATTCCATTCTCTCCTTAGAATGGTTAATGCTTCGGGAAAATCCTGTGTGTGACTGATGCTGTGCCTAGCCTTGTAGGGTGGGCCAGGTCACCACCTGTGAGGTTCAGAACCTCTTGGAGCCAGGCAGGGTAGCACATCCCCGTGATCTGATTGCTCAGGACGCTGAGGCAGGAGAGATCGTGGAGTTCAGGGCCAGGCTGGGCTATGTAGGAGTTTAGGGCCATCCTGAACTAAACAGTGAGACCCTGTCTCAACAAATAAATCCAGTTGGGAATATAATCTACTCATTCACACATCCAGTACTTTTTTTTTCCATGCTGTGCTTCTTGAATATCCCCTTTGTTATATCAAACATAAGGCTCCATATCTAAGCCGATACTATACAGTTGAAAGCCCAGGTTGGCTGATGTACAGCCAAGAGTTCTGTCCTGATTTGAATAAATCAAGATACCAGAATTGGCTGGCAGTTTAGATTCCATTTTGAAGTATTATGTGCCATTCCTGAAATCATTATAAAATTTTGCTTTCTGGGCAATGTGATTTGCACTCTAGCGGGAGGCAGAAGTGGCCCCTTGTGTAATGGCCATAATGTGAAAATGTCCAAACGTTTCTAAAACCTGAAACGATAAAATGGGATAGTACAGTATCATTTCCTTTCTACACTTAGCTAAAGCAGTGATTGTAATCATTATTTTTAGATGAAATAAGCAAAATCAACCCCTCGAGGACACGAAGCTGCTGGCTAGATAGTGGGACACTGCTTTCTGTGGTAGCGCCCTGGTGAGCGGCTGCGCAGGGCCCGCGCTGGGGATGCTGTCTGTGCGGGAGAAGGGGCTTTCTCCAGACACTACGGCTTGCCTTTCTCACCAGCGTTCAAACAAGCGTAGCTACTTTGTGCATCTGAGTATCTGAAAGCACTTGATAACAATTGAATGTTGGCTGCTGTGATGTCACTTGGGGGGGGGACTCTAATATTAGACTTCTAAATATAATCTGCTAGTTCTCAACTTATTTCATGTATTCTGGAGATGCAGTTGGCATTATGTAAGAAAGGAATTATGAAAACCAGTCCCTTCCGCTCAGACCCTGGCAGGAGTTAGCTTTGTAATGCTGTCAGCAGTGACAGAGTTTGTCCACGTTGTGTGTTCATAATGACCCCAGAGCCTGGGGTTTAGGAAACAGGGAGAAATGAGCTTACTGCTCAGTTTGTTCAGCCTTATCAGATGGAAGAAGGATGATTGTGGACCTATTTCTACTTAGTATAACCACTAAAAATTAACCAAACTCCTTGAAAGGGTTTTAGGAATAAACAGTGAGTCAAACAAAATTTTAATGGGGCACTGGGGCACTGGCTGTGGTTAGTTATTTAATAAGACCTTTGAGATGGTGGGAAGCGGCCACGTAGAAGGTTAACTTGGCTTCGCTGCCCTCCAAGGTGCTACACAGATAACAGCCATTCAGCGGCCTCCCCAGGAGAAGACAGCCCTCGCAGTGTCCTTAGTAGGAGCGAGCCTGCTTTGGGTAAAGGGCCCTTGTATGTGAGTCACCTTGACTTTGAGAAATTCTTTGCTCTCTCAGAATCATACATGGAATATGCAGCTGGCTTCCACCGTACAAAGCAGCCGCTCCTTGCACTGTCATTAACACCGCCTTAGTGCATTCTCTGGTGCTATCACAGAGGGCCACAGACTGGAAAATTTATTGAGCATAAGTTTATTTGGCTGATGGTTCTGGGGGCCAGGGAGTGTCTGATGATGTGTTCATGCTGCTCTATAATAGAGCAGAAGAGTAGAAGAAAAAAAAAAAAAAAGACTTCAAAAATGCCTCAGAAAGATGCCTCTGGGAGGGCATATTTTATAACCGCCCACTCCCCCTAGAACATTAACCCCTTCCTGGGGTGCAGCTCTGCTGACCCAAGCACCTCTGAAGGGCCTGGCCACCTCTCACCGCCTGCCTGGAGTTGAGATAAAACCGCAGCACAAGTTTAAGCCGACTGGCTCCCATCATGCGGTGGCTGGCGCTGTGTGCAGGGCCTGCTGTGGAAACCCCTTTGTTCAGATGTCTTGTGCACCATTGGCCTTGGGCAGCTGCTGAGTTTGGTCTGTCAGCTTTAAAAAAAAAAAAATTGTAATGTTCCTGATGCTGAATATATCTTACTCAAAGCAGAAAGTTAAGAGTTACGTGATGGAGTTTTTTATTATTGTTTTTAATTACATATTTAATTGGTAAGTATACAGCCAAGCAAGAAATAACTTGCCACCCCATTTTCAACTATTTGATAAAGAACACATATAATGTCTGCCAACCCGTTTTGTTTTGGGCTGTTTTGTCCTTTTTTGGGAAGATTCCTTGTGTCTGCAACTCTTGGCATCCCACTACCACCTACATTTTCTTGAGTCCCCATTAGCTCAACACACACACACTTTTTTTTAGTGCAGAGCTTCTTGGAAGCAACCCATGACCAAAGAAATGGGGGGTGGGGTGGAGTAATTAAGTGTCCAGTGAAGCTACCTTCTTTCTGAGGTTTTAATTGGCTCCCCGTGGAAGGTCATGAGTGTGTTTTGCTTTTCCTGCCGCGTGACTTTCAAGAACAGTGTACAGAAGGAAGCCTCGTGCACCCCGTAACAGTTGTCCTCTGCCTGTCCCCCAATCCCTGCAGTGGTGCTTCACGCCCCCCCGCCCACCAAGATCAAGCGGGAGCTGCACAGCCCCTCCTCTGAGCTGTCATCCTGCAGCCATGAGCAGCCTCTCGGTGCTAACTACGGAGAAAAGTGCCTCTACAACTACTGGTGAGTGAGGCGTGCTTAAGGGGTCACCAGACCGCAGGCTGAGCATGCCGGTGTTGCCTCGGCACCAGGTCACTGTCGCCCTCTCTGTGCAGCCCACTCCTCTTGGGGCCACTTTGCTGCAGTACAAGAAGCAAACATTCAAGTGGGGTGGCTCTCCAGGGAACTAAGTTTGTGAAGTACTGAGCCCTCCTCAGGGAAAGGGCCTGGAATACCGGGATATTTGGCCTATAGCTTTGAGACAGGTAATAAATACTACTTCCTGCCTGTCATATGTTAATGTGAACTTTAAGCACCCAGGATGTAATCTTCAAATCAGAGTATACAAAAAAGCCCCACGCCTGTGCCCTTTACTTAAGAATATCCAGGCCCCGGGAATGAAGCTTTAATTTTAAAATCATTCTTTGCAGTGGAAGGCAAACACAGACCGCCTGAGGCACAGGAGCAGAGTTGTTAGCGCTGGTGATACTTCCTCAGATGTTCACCTTCCAGGAAGGTTCCAGCCAGTTCCTGGGAACCCTGGAATACTTGGGAGAGGGGCCGAGAGCACCGGGGCCCTGCGCTCCCTGCGCCCATCCACCCCTACAGAGTTCTTTTAGAAGGAGGGAAAAAGGAAACCGGAAGCAGAGGCTAAAATTATCTCTGAGAAAAATCACTAAAAGTGTTAAACAAGTCCCTGTGACGCAGTGTGTTTGTCACTTCGCTGAGGTACAGATATTCCCTCCGGGCTGCTCACAATTTAACTATGCTAATGCCGCCATTTCCTGGCAACAATGGGCTGCAAACTGGAGTTGTGCTGGACCTGGTAACCAGCTAATGGTTCCTTCTCTTTTTCTGTTTACAGTGCCTATGACAGGAAGCCTCCTTCTGGGTTCAAGCCATTAACTCCTCCCACCACCCCCCTGTCACCCTCCCACCATCAGAATTCCTTGTTCCCCCCACCCCAGGCGACCCTGCCCTCCTCAGCCTCAGCAGCGCATGCCCCTGGAGCTGGCCCAGTCCCAGTCCAAGCTGTGGGCCCTGCTCCGACCCCTCATCCGCTTTCAGAACCTGGACCACAGCAGCAAACCTTTGCAGTCCCTCGGCCACCGCATCAGCCCCTGCAGATACCAAAGATGATGCCTGAAAACCAGTATCCGTCAGAACAGAGGTGGGTGCTGTCCTGGGCTTTATTAACCGTGTCCCCTGAGCCTCCTTTCCTCCCTGGAGAGGGGACACAATGACTTGTATGCACCAGGTACCTGTAAAGCTCTTCTCCCTTGTGGAGTGAGACCAATGCGGACGTGACCTGCTTATGCACCCTGCTGTTCCTCAACAGCTCTGAAGGATTTATAGAAGTTACTGCGTCGTTATGAGCAGGGAGAGATGATTAAGTCCCCCCCAGAGCTAGAGGAGTGTGGATTTGCTCAGGGTGTAATCTGCTGGCTCCTCCACTGGGTGCTGCCTGTAAGAGCTGAACTTCAGTTTATGTTGCCCATAATTATTTCATTACCGTTACTTACTTACATATTAGGAAAGATTGTTGAGATACAGGCAGCATTCTGATTCATCTGATCTAAGACATTTCAGCAGCAGTTTTGTTAAGACCCTTGGTTATAATGGCTTGCTTTGCAGATAGAAATCTGATTACACTGCAATTCAGGTCCTTTTATATTCCTGATGAGCCTGAAACCTCAGAGGTCGCTTGTCCAGAGCTCTTCATTCATTGAAAAAATAGAAAGTAGAAAGCCAAAGTTTGGATGCTTGGTGGCCTCCTTTGTGCGGGGCACTCGAGGGCTTGATTTATTCCAAGTCACAGAGGCTGCCAGTGACACAGGCAAGGGCTGCGGGGTGGTGACCTCCGCACTTTCCTCCTGTCTTGCTGTGCCTTGGGTCCTGTGCCTTGGGTCATCTTCAGTGTGGAGAAGGGAGAGAGCCCGTGAAGGGAGGGTGTAGGAGTGTGCCTTCCCCAGGCATGGCCGACCAGCGCCATCAGCGCTTACCTGCAGGATACCTGCCTTATTTCTAGGTGAAATCAGAAGACTAATACAGCGCTTCGGTTCTGAGCTTACCCGCCTTCGCGCCGATAGCCACCGCAAAGAACCCCTGATAGCGGCTGGCCCGTGTTGGCACCGTCCCTTGGGTCAAGGGCGGAACATCCATGACCTGTGTGGGCCAGTTTTGCCAAACCTTGACTTAAGACCGGCTCAGGAGTGGGGTCCCTACTGCCTCTGGGACTCACCAAAAGAGACAGCTGCCACCAAGCTTTTGGCAGTTACCACCTCCTATTTTAACAGCCTTATTCTTTTTTCAAGAGAATGGAGAGGATGGGGTTTTTATGTGAAAAGTACAGGGATTTTTTTTTTTTTTTTAAATTGGCCACTAATTGGGATAAAAACATTTAACATTTTTCAGGCTAAACTAAACCTCTCAAGCCAAATCACTCTGCAATCCTGTCAGTTTGTGACCTCTGGTTGGTCCAGACCCATTTTTGTTGCAGTAGTTTTTAGTATTATGTTTTAAAGCCGCATTCAGCGGAGGGTTATTTATGGGAGAAAGGGAGATGAGATGATGTATATGTTCACTATTTGACATAGTTAGCAAACTTTATATTTGTTACACCTTGAGTAGAGGAAAATGACTACTTCATGGTAAATTTGTTTTCCTAGTATTTCCTTCTCAAGCCTTGTTTTTATCCAGGAGCTTGTGTAGTAGGTTAGTGGGTTGCTCGTGGTTAGCTGTAGTCAGGGGAAACTGCCCGGATTCCTTAGAAGTCACGTCCCCTCTGGCAGGCTGGCTGGAGGAGGTAACCTTAGTCGCAGATAAGGAGTCTACTGTCTCCAGGCTCCCCAGCCTCCTCCCTAGAGGAGAAGGTTTGAATTCCTGAGACTTACGACTGGCTGCCCTCAGGGTACCTGAGGGCAGGGTGCAGGCTCTGAGTGCAGGGGTCGGTTTCTGGGTGATTCCACCTGCTGTCCACTGTGGAATTGTCTCCTGTACACTTAGCTTGAGGGAATTACGGTTCTAAAACCAAAAGACACTACACAGGGTGCTAGCTGGGGCAAAAGGGTAGTGTTCTCTCAGTTCCTGGGTCAAAACAGGAAAAACCTTACCGCAGTCCTCCAGACCTCTGTAGCAGAGTGCTGCAGTTTCAGAGCTGGGGTACACAGCAAGCCCTGGGCATTTTGGTCCAGATGGGGACCAAAATGCAGACTCTGTCTCTACTCCAGAGTTGAGTTACAGGGTCTTGGTGGGTAAAAATTACTCTAGTACACAATTAGAACTGCCCTTGTCTATTTTTTTTTATTATGCAACCATCATTTAATCACAACATAGAACACTATAACATTATAACAGTGATGCCCTTGTCTGTTAATGTGTATCTGTGAGATAATTGTGTGACGTAAATACATCAAAAACATGACAGTGATTTTGCTTGTAGATACTGGATACCACACAGAGAGTAACACATTAGCATTCCTGGTTTGGTTTTATAAAAATAATTACTGTCGGGTATAATAACAAGCTTAATAATCACACATTTAATAACTTCTCTTCCTGCCCCAAAGTGGAACAGGTTACTTTTGCTAGTAACTAGAGTTTAGCTTTTGCTCCTAACTTCTGTTAAAAGTGCAGAAATTCAAAACTCATTCGCTAAAATAGATTACAATATTTTGCAAGATAGAGAGAATCAAGTCTTACTTGAAACTCCTCAACTCTGCTGTCTGAGACAATAAAAAGAAATCTCTGACCGGCTGACCTCCCCTGATGTCTGTGAAAGCTTCAGTAAGTGACCTTGATGGATGTTTCAACCTTGAGCTTCACCATCGCTTAATCTGCCAGACCTCTGTCTGCCTCAAGCCCTTAATCCCATGTCCCGAGCACGTGTGGCAACATCATGGCTGTTTCATTCTCAGTGTGCCTCATCTGTTCCCTGGAGTGAAATACACTCCAGGATAAAAGGCTTTAGACCCTTTTCTTTGACTGCAATTAGCCCTATCTTCATTGCTCCCAATATATTTTTATTGGTGGTGATTGTAGTTTGGTAGGGTCATGCTTTAAAATATATATAATCCTATCAGAAGTGCACGCTTAATGTTTTAGGTGCTATATAACCCTTCACAGTGCAGTTTATTTTTAGATGATAAATACCAGGCTTGAAACCTGTGTTTTATAAACCAGTGATTTCCTCCCTGTGAGCAGGGGTAGGCATGCTAAGCTGGCATGCCCAGACCCCATTCTCTTTATCCAAAGAGACTGACCAGCTGCTCCTCAGGGGAGGTGGGCCTTTCCTGCAGCCAGGTTTGCCATCTGCCGGTCTGCGATGGTCCCATGGACCAAGTAGAAGGACATGTCAGATGTTTCTCTGTGGCATCCCTCGTGCTGGCCACGTAAGTTTTATCTTTTATCGTGCTGAATCGCATAAGATCTTGAACTGAGGAAAGTCCTGCAGTTCAGCTGAAGAGGCCCCACTGAGGAAGTGTGCCACCTGAGAATTTTGGAATGTGCTGTTTGACCACGTCAAGAAGTAAAAATCCAGGGGCCGGGGGGTGGGGATGGCTCAGTCGAATAAGCGCTTGCCTGGCAAGCAC